TTCTAATCATCACTTTTTAAAACAATAAACATTGATGAGGAGTGAAGGTAGTTAAAATAATAGCAGTGTCAAGGGAAAAAAACATCCTTTTGACACACTGTTTTTTGAAGGGCACGAAGGTCCAAGTGTACTGTAAATTTTCTCTGAAAAATATTTAAAATTACAAAATTAGTTGGATAGGTTAGCTTGGCTTAGGTTAGTGTTTTGTTTACTATTTTTATTTAGAGTATTATTGAATCAGCAAAATGCAAAAAAAAAAAAAAGATGTTTAGCTGTGCTGAATGGCTATCACAGGAAAAAGAAAATGGGAGAGAAAATGTCTTCTGCTTGGATATATTAGTATACCAATCACCTACTAAGAGGTATTTGTTCTCCCAAATTCCTTTATTTTCTCTCTTTATTACCCATATTTCTCTGTAGCTCTAATCATCTAGTATTTATAAAGATGATAGGATGCTTACTCTGCACTTTAAAAAAAAAATCATTTTGCAACAAGCAAGGCAATAAAAGGCATTATGATGCAGGGAGATACTGAGATGGAAAGAAAGAGAGGATAATAAAAGAACAGAATTCAAGGAGAAGGAACATGATGATTAACATTGCATTCAAATTTTAAAGATCACACTTGAGAGGAAAGCAGGGAGAGAAGAAACTATTGACATAGAACTTGCTGTTACAACTATCAATTTCAACAGTGAAATGATGAGACGTAGCTACCAATCTAGTACTGCATTTAAATTTGTGATGTTGAGATACCAAAGAGGAAAGCTTATCAGAACAATTACCACAAAAATATTTATCAAAAAAGCATAGGGAAGCTATATTATGGCAGTGGGAAAGGAACTGAATCAGAGATTCCAAATCAGGATCGATAATGTTACAGTTTCTTCTTTGGATTTTGTCAAGAATCTCTAGATATATCGCAAAATAACCAGATCAGATGTGGCAGCAACATTTGATGCATGGATGAATAGTAGACTTATAAAGATGCAAGATAGATTGTCTAGCACAACATTTTTTTATTTTCTCTTGGTATGTTGTTATTAAACAACTGTGGAAAATGATTTTCCAGATTTTGCTGTTGGTGACCCATCATGTCTGATAATTTGAACATCAAAAGTTCTTTCCTTTTTTGATATAGCACAACAAAATATCTGAATATTTTTTGTACATGTTAAAAAAAAAAAATCTAATACAGTTATCTCCCCTAAAAATATCATACAGTTATCTCCCCATAAAAATTTAATACAGTTGTCTCCCCTTATGTGTGCCTTCACTTTCTACTGTTTGATTAATCCATGGTCAGCTCCATAAAAGAAAAATGAATTTTACTCTATAATGGTCAACTCCATAAATGAATAATACACTACAGCCCCTTTCCCACTGGTGAAATGTTATAAGCCTATCGTTATTCTATCACTATTTCCATGGCAAATGTTCAGACAAGCTATATTCCTCCATTCCACCAGTTCAGAATTTCACAGCTAAGACGTGCCATAACAAGTACACAGGGTCAAATCATCCTCATTCCCTTTGTATTCCACTGATAAGAAGGAAGTTGAACTTAGACAGCTTCTTCTAGAGAACTATTGCACAGACTCCCAAGAGGATGCTTCCTCATTCACTATAATCTTAACCATTTCAAGTCTAGTGTTAACCATTAAATATCCTACCTATCCTCATAATCTGCACTTACTTCCTTCTCTTATGTCCATACAACAACTTCATTCAGTGGGCCTCTACCTTGAGTGTTTCTTGGGGCTTTGGTGGGCATTTAGTAAAAAAAAAAAAAATTACATAATAATTGTTCCAAAGCATAACAATAGTGATGCTGGAAATTTGAATACATCAAAAAGAAGCTGTAGACAGCTTCTTTCAAGTAAAAAAACAAACTTTTTTGATACAGAAAGGAAAAAATCATATTAATGGAGTTGTATGGAAAGAAAGAAGAAATATCATTAATTCTCCATTCCCCAAGGTTCACATTAGGCATTATAGTATAGCTGTGATATAACACCTTACACAGTGAAAGGAAGCACCAGAATCACTCAAAGAAATTAATTTCAGGAATGAATTGTGATCTGTCAGGATCTAATCAATTATGATGGTATGTATTCTCACTGTCATCATTCACAGGTTGTCACATAACACTCAGAATGTGAGTAAAGTCATTCTGTAAAAAGGGAGATAATCACCTTCTGCATCCCTACAATATACTGAGATCTTTGATAAGAATAAATTTTCTGTTGCATAACTTTTATTATAGCATATTATTATAATTTGTTTTATTATATTAGTAGTCATTTTTGTTAATCTCTTATTAAGTCTAATTTATAAATTAAACTTTATTGTAGGTATATATGTATATAAATAAGCGATATTTTATATAAAGTTTGGTATGGGAGAAACATGCAAGCAACGAGGAGGTTTGAAGTAATGTCATTGATTATTTTCATTTAATTGTTTTAGAATTTTGAATTCAAAATTTAAACAGGCTGTCTCAAAAAACAGATACACACTTTTAAAATGTATAGCTCAAGTTAAATTGATTTATTTTCAGTTTTACATGTTAGTATTACTAATGTTATCCAGGCTGAGCTTTGAACAAAGAAAGTTAATTCGGAAATGCTATTGGAAGTACGAAGATGCAGTTGAAGTTTAAAAGTGGTATTGATGAGAGTTTCATTCAGATTCAACCACATGGCTTACAATCTCATGAACAGAGATGGTACTGTTTAGAATTAGATGATAGTACTATACCCGATGTGCACAAGAATGGTTCCAGAAATACCATGGATATCAACAAGTGCCATAAAGCAAGAAAGGGTGATGGAAAGTTATCACAGAAGCCCAAGAAGCCAATCAGAATGAGATTCCATTGTTTCCTGTTGTTAGCAATGTCTGGATCATAACAGATATCAATTTGATAACAGGTGGTGTCAGATACATAGGCACAAGCACTTATAATAAATACTGTCTTGCACTATGCATTATTTGAATGTTAGATAACATTTGAATATTGTCTTGCATTATGCATTATTTGAATATTTGATAACATTTGAATACTGTTTTGTGCTATGCATTTGAATATTAGATAACATTTGAATACTGTCTTGCACTATGCATTATTTGAATGTTAGATGATATTTGAATACTGTCTTGCACTATGTATTATTTGAATATTAGATAACATTTGAATTATTAGATATAGTTGGTTCTAGTTGCTTGAATTATTTCTTGAGAAAGCTTAAAAATATGTACAAATTTTTTTGAGATCACTGTATATAGAATACATAAATCTTTTCATAAAATTAGCTAGAAATAATGTTATACATTCCTCTGACAGAAAAGATAATGTATGCACAATAGACTCTCTCTCTCTCTTTCTTCCTCCTTAGTCTGCTTGTCTCTTCTATTTTATTTTGTTAAAAATGGATATGATAAAGTAAAATTGGCTTACATAATAAAATCTCCTTCTATGTGTCATGTCCCTTCAGAACATTAGTGGTCATGTCTCTCCATATTCTCCTTTGTAAGTCTTAATAAACTTGGTCTTTTTGTTATCTCTCCTACATCTTGTTTCACCAATCATTTATTCTAAGCTCACTAGGTTAGGGTATGTGTTGTTTTCCTCTGTCCTTCTTGTCTTCAATCAGCCTTGTGAATATGAAATTTTCTAAGATCTTTTTCCTCTTTATGTGTCATAGAAATTTCAACTCTCTCTTCCTGATTTAAGTATAGGGTGTTCTAATAACTTGGACCAATTTTAAATGTGAATTAAGTTTAAGCATCTAATGATTTTTTTCTTTTTATGCCCTGAAAAAAAGAAAAGGAGCCAAAATTTTCATTGACATATGTGTTGATGGACTGTGTTGACTACCTGTTCAATAGTAAGAATGTCACATGTGTGTAGAGAAGAAAAGTGGGACTGATTCTCATTGGTTTAGAAAGAGTGAATTAATGATAATTATAAATATTATAATTATTTTTGATGCTATAATTAATTTTTATTTATGTATTTTTATTCATGTATCTTTTATAGACAAGACATGAGCAAAGCAGACCAAGCTGGCCCCCCATTTCTCTCCGTCACAGTTGATGTCCTCCAACTTAAAGGCTTGCCTTGGCTACGAACATGTGCTCATTGATTCCAAGTATTCACAAATTAATTTTTATTAAGTTGATTAATTACAAGTATTTGTGTTTGCATTATACAAGTTGTTTTCCCATTTGGCTCAAAAAAATGTTAATATAATCTTACAAATAAAGAAAAATAGTTACGGTTTCTATTTTATCATTTTATCGAAATGGCATGTTTTTCTATTTTTAAAATACTAAGATATGAAGGTCCTTACCACAAGCTCAAGTTGAAAATAAAATTTGCTTAAATATTAAGCAAATAATATAAAATATAAAAAATATAAAATATTAAATTAAATATCTCAATTGATATGAAAATTAGATTCTTTACAATTTTAAAACTTTGAGGGCATTCTTTTCTTTTTAAATATTTGTGGTATTTGCTACATCTGTGACTAAACACTCTTAACCAATGTATATGGCAATATTTCAAGCTTGATATTTGTCCTTGCAAATACTTTGAAGTCAGGAAGCAATCATAGACTGAGCTACTTTTTTATTTGGTTAACAAAATAAAATTGAGTTTCTGCAGAATCTTGGAGAGAAAAAAATAAAGTGGTTCAATTCATGAGTAAAATAGAAAGTGAACTAATTTTTAAGACTTCCATGGTAATTTTATATGCAGGTTCATAGAATGTCACCTTTCTTAACAAGACTACTGCAATTAGAATGCAGGATATTTAGAAACAACACAATAAAAACAAAAACAAAAGTGACAGGAAGATGAATGAAGTTGGCTAGGTTGTGCATCTAGATGCATCAGATGTCAGGAATTAAAAAAAAATTAATTTAAAGGTAAGCAGCTTTAAAAAGCTGTCAATGATGTTGATCATATATGCAGAGATACTAAATTTACTTACATAATTTGCGACTTTGAGTACATTCTTCAGTTCCATGGACATTCCATGGTGTTCCATCGCAAGAAAGACTGTGTTTAATACAATGATAAAGATGATAAAAACCTCGGTGAATGAATCTGTAATGATGTAATGGGCAAAGGATTGTACCCTTATCCAAGGATTGTAGCAGCAACCACAGCACTGCTCACAACAAGAACAGTTTCGATCGTCAACATGGGAATCTGAAAAAAGAAAGAGAAAAATGAGAAAGGAAATAGTTTATTCATATTTATAGAAATTTCATTGAAGACAACTGACAATACACTGCAATTAAGCTTTTATTAAACTTTTCTTGCAATCATTCAAGTGATTTCTTTTCTGGACATAGACTGTAAAAACTGTCCAAATGATGTTTAGATCCGAAGACTTTCAGCTAATCTGTTAGCCATTACGAAAGATATTTTTTGTTTAGTTGAATATGCAGGTTTTATTTTATTTTTTATAAATATGTAGGGATGGTAGTTTTTTAAATTTTTTGAACATGGTCAGCACTTTGTGGATCAGTTCATAATAAGAAAAAGACTCACCAAAAAGTGCCAGATTATGTTTCAGCTCCCTCTGCCTACACAGAGTCAGATGAGACATGTTGATAACAACCACCTCTAAGATGTAAAGATGGTGTTTTGTCTGAGCCCTGTGCAGCAATGAGAGAAACTCCACTGAATAATTGGACCCACAAGTGATAGAACTCAATAAATACTCCCCAATGGCAGACTCATGTGCCTGTGAGCGCCCAGATGCTAACAGAACATCTCTACGTATAAAACAAGACATGTGCTGCACAATCTACACCTTCAGCTGTTGGATAGTCTTAACATTATAGTTGGCCTTACACTGCCACTTAAAATGATAAATAACAGAACTTTGTTGATTAGTGGGCAAGAAATCTTTATGGTCAGCTGGGAAAGCACTCTTAGAGGCAAAGATGTTCTGTATTACTACAGAATTGAAGCATTGCATGACAGCTGAAGAGATCTTATCAGTGCATGATTGACTATAAGAGCCAATCTAAGGTAATGTCATGTAGACAGGACACTTAGGTGAATCAAATATTTTAATTTTTATTAAACTTAGAAATTCAAAGTCTAATGTTTGTTTTGATGACACCTTCTGGATAGCTGTTGGTGAGAAAGATAATAGTAGTTTACAGTCTGAACATATCAATGAATGATGAGTAAGTGTTTTGACAAGGTTAATTTTCCTAGACTTAGAAGCAAAAGAGTCCCAACTGAGATACAACTCATTAAAATTGTCTTCCTATGTATGCTGGTGAAGAAAGAAGTAGGAGTTCTCTCAACCAGCATGTCCAAGAAAGGTAATGTATTATTACTCTCCAACACTATGGTAAATTGTAAAGAGGGGAGGAGACTATTTAGATGTTGAAAAAACCTGTCTGCCTCATTATGTGATAAAGAAGATGTAAAAGTGTCATCAACATAATGGAAATAGCAGTAATGTTTCAGGACCTTATCAAACAATTGCCTCTTGGGAAACCCTACAAAAATAATGGTCATGAGAAATCCCAAATGACTACTCATCACTACACCATCAATTTGTTGATACATGTTATTATAAAAAATGAAAGAGGCAGAGTTTGTAGCCATTTCCAACAGCTAAACATAAACACTCTCAGGAAATGATGGCGGTTTTAAGGGGCCACAATGCAAATAAACAGCACAAATGTCAATAGTCAAATGTCAAGAGGGACATTTGTGAAAAGACTACAAATATCAAAAGATGTGAGAAACTCCATGTCAACAGTAGGTTGCAATTTACATATATATGACGCAAAATGGAACGAGTCTGGAATACAATATTCAGAATAATACTGCAAAACAGGATCAAGAACTTCAACCAAGCACTTGGCCAACTCATGCTGGGCAGAGCCCACCACAGACAAAATGGGCTGAAGTCGTACATTCATATTATGAACTTTTGGCAAACCATACATCCTAGGATGCTGGGAGCCAACAGGTTGAATTCTATCATATACCTTGCTTTGAGAGGAACATGCTTTTATGAAATTCAAGCAATCTCTACTGAAATTTATCCATATTCTGATGAATAGAGTGCACAACAGAATCTGGCCAGAGATAGGTCAATAACAGTGCAGGTTTGTTAAAGACACCAGAACGAGGAATGTGATATTCATGTTTAGAATGTTATCAGAAAGAACAATACAAATGTAGAAGAATGTGCATCTATGTTTTATAGACTACCCAAAGGTGTTCGATAAAGTACACCACAAAAGTCTATTAGAGCTGCTCAGCAATCTTGACATATTCAGGAAAGATATTAGAATATTCAAAAATCTATACTGGCAATAAACCACCTACATAAAGATTAAAAAAGAGTTCAGCAGATATACCAGAATAGAAAGGGGCATAAGGCAAGGATGTGTATTCTCACTGGACTTATTCAACCGATACAGTGAAGCATTTCTGAAAGAAGAGGAAGGATTCATCATTGGTGGTGGCACCATTTTAACAACTTAAGATACACAAATTACACAGTGCTGATAGCAGACATAGAAAGAAAACTACAAAACCTCTTACAGAAATTAGCAAAGGAGAGTGAGAAGAAGGGACTAAGCATAAACTACAAGAAGATAGAATGCATGGTTGTCAGTAAAAAGATGAGCCTGGAATGCAAATGACAGGTCAAGGACTCTAAAATTTAACAGGTACAGAAATTTAAATATCTGGGAAGTGTTCTGACAGAGGATGGAAAGTGAGACACTGAGATCCAAAGATGCATTGGGATGGCCAAAGATACATTCTAAAAGATATACAAAGTATTATGAGACAAGAGAGTTTCATTGGTAACAAAGAAAAGAATACTGAACCTCTACAGGATATCTGTCCTCCTTCATGGTAGCAAATGTTGGATGGTCTCCTCAAAGATGAAGAAGAGACTTGAGGCAACAGAGATATGGTTCTACAAAAGGGTACTAAGTATACCATGAACATGTGAGCAACAATGAGGTTTTGGAGAGGATGCAAACAAAGAGGAAACTTATATTTAACATCAAGAAGAGGCAGTTGAAATTTCTGAGATATGTAATGAGAAAGAAGGGTTTGGAAAATCTGATACTTACAGGGTGGATAGAGGGACAGAAGAAAGCAATGTGTGACATACTTAACAGGCTTAAGCAAGTAGATGGCAGAACTGGGTTTAGGAGAAATAACAAAAAGACAAAACTTATTGAGAGCTACAAGGTACAGAAATGGAGAGCCATGACTACCTACATCCTGAAAGGACATGGCACATAAAAGAAGATGTGGGTAAGATTATCCAATGGCTGCAGGTGCAGATTGTGCAGCACATACTAGGCTTTGTATGTAGACATGATCCATTGACATCTGGGCATTCAGAGGCACATGAGTCTGCCATTGGGGAGTATTTATCAAGTTCTATCATTTGTGGGTCCAATTATTCAGTGGAGTTCCTCTCTGTGCTGCAGAGGGCTTGGACAAAACCCCATATGTTTGGACTGTAAACTTGATGCTAAACTTAGGGAAATTACTAATATCTTTCTCGCCAACAGCTATCCAGAAGGTGTCATCAAAAGAAACATTAGACTTTGAATTTCTAAGTTTAATAAAAATTAAAATATTTGATTCACCTAAGTGTCCTGTCTACATGACATTACCTTAGATTGGCTCTTATAGTCAATCATGCACTGATAAGATCTCTTCAGCTGTCATGCAATGCTTCAATTCTGTAGTAATACAGAACATCTTTGCTACTTTCCCAGCTATCCATAAAGATTTCTTGCCCACCAATCAACAACGTTCTGTTATTTATCATTTTAAGTGGCAGTGTAAGGCCAACTATAATGTTAAGACTATCCAACAGCTGAAGGTGTAGATTGTGCAGCACATGTCTCGTTTTATACGTAGAGATGTTCTGTTAGCATCTGGGCACTCACAGGCACATGAGTCTGCCATTGGGGAGTATTTATTGAGTTCTATCACTTGTGGGTCCAATTATTCAGTGGAGTTTCTCTCATTGCTGCACAGGGCTCAGACAAAACACCATCTTTACATCTTAGAGGTGGTTGTTATCAACATGTCTCATCTGACTCTGTGTACGCAGTGGGAGCTGAAACATAAACTGGCACTTTTCGGTGAGTCTTTTTCTTGTTCTGGGTAATATTAATTTTTTTTTCCTTCCCTCTCCCCCTTGTTTCTTTTAATTATATTGCAAGGAAGTTTGTTTCCTTTCACTAGTTTTTCTTAATTCCAATGATTTTCTTCTCAGGAAACGTCAGATGAAAGGTATCTTAAAATTTCTATTTTTAATCAAGACGATACTTTTGTATTAATAGCACTAAAAATCTTCCCCCCCCCACACACACACTCACATACACACACACACACACACACATATATATATATACAATATATGTCTCTCTCTCTCTCTCTCTACACACACACACACATATATAGTACCTAAAGACTGCTGCAATGGATTTTTTTAATCCAACATTATTTCTTATTACTATAAACATTCTTTTTACTGGGTACACATGTTTGAGTTGTTATACATGTTTTTAATTTTTCTTAAACGTTGAAATTAATAATAAACTAGTGTGAGAAGTCCTACTTCTCAAGGTATGATTTCTCTTTAGTATGACTTATCGATCTTGTGATAACAACTCAACAACTCAAACACATGTACCCACTAAAAGTAGTAATAAGAAATACACACACGCACACGCACACACACACACACACACACACATATATATATATATATATATATTTTTAAATTCACAAGCCGATAGACATAATACACACTTTTTAAAGTAAAAAGTAAAAATGGGGCATCTATTTCAAATATTATTATCCACTATAATGTTTGAAGTAATAAAAAATGTCAGATTAAAAAAAAATAAATCCATTAATTATTTTATATATATATATAATATATATATATATATTTTATTAAATTATTTAATTATTATATATATATATATATATATATATATATATATATATATATATATATATATA